AATGAGACAACAATGAACGAAGAAGTACATGAGATAGTGTAATTTGATGGATATTAGCGAGAACTTTCAGAATCGAAATACTTACATCTACACTACTGAAAAAGATTCTGAGCTTTGATACTAACAGTCTCAAACTGTTGATTTTTAGCATCCCGAAGATCCGAGTCAGGTAGTCTGTACTTTCCTACGTGGTTCATGTCAACAGCCAAACACTTTATGGACTAGTGTCATGTATGGTTCTCCCTGCACCTAACTCTTTTCCAAACTACTTCTAATTCAGCTAACATATCTAGACAAGAAAGCCAATGCGTCGATATGTGTAACAAATATAAGAGTGTTGTCAAATGATGGAGTTTCACAAGGTCATTCATTAGTTTCCACTCCTCATTGATAAACATTAAGTAAAAACCGGACAGTGTCGATAAATACTCTGAGTTATATAGCTTCAAACAGACTGCAGTGGAGTATACACACTCAAGTCGTTATTTTACTTATTATAATTTTACATTTCTTTATTTTATGTCCTTTTACTCTATTTTTAGCAACTTAGATTGCTTGATTTCCATTCTTTGTTTTCCTCTCATTCACCTTCAGCTTAGTGTATAATAAGATTAGGATGCACCAGTTTTGGCGCTGTATTTCAGAAAGGATTGATGGTTTAATGATAGCTTAATGGTCTACGAGCTCACCTTGTAACCGAAAGGTCCTGGGTCCGAACCGCGGCGAATGCTACTGATGAAGAGTCCCGAACTAAGACGAAAAGGCTGTCCAGTACTCCTAGGTTTTCCAATGGTTCTCTAACTGATGTCCGCTTATGACAGTACTTTGGTATATATTAGACGGCGTGCTTTGAACTTGGGCTACCGGAAACCTCCATCATTATATTGCATATAATTTCTATTATTCAATTTCTCTAAATCTAGTAAAGTATGACTTTTAGTAGTGTTGTTTACTCTGGAGAGTATTTAAAACATTTACAACCTGCTTATTCGCAAGTTTCTACTAAACGTGAGAAAAAGCATTGTCCTCGATGGCAGCTTATCCCAGTACATGAGATGACCGTTACACGGGTGGTGTCTTTGGTTCACAAAGCTTATTCCTGAACCTTTTATAATTGGCATTCAAAAAAATGTCGTGTATTTCTCGAAGGAAAAAAGAAGAGATATCATAATGGATTGGTTTGCGCTTCAGGTCAGATAGAACTGTGTCACACGATCTACTGTCAATTAATCTTTTACTGGAAGATCCTGGACAAAGATAAAATATCATGCAATAAACTCTGCTGGAAATTCTGTACATTAGACAAACAGTGTTCAGAATGAAGCTATATTATTGTTGTTATTATTATTAGGATTCTACCGTCTGCAACAGAAACTGATAGAGTATTAGGTTACTTTTTAGTACTGAGCTTCCTAACTCCTCTGTCCACAGACAATGATGACCATCTTTACAGTAATTATCTCTAAAAAAACACCCATCATTCACGAATAATCACGACAATGATTAAGGCGACTGTCCCCTAAACTGTAAAGCGATAAGATTGATCCGATTCCTTAAGCAGGTTCCCACTCATTTATATTAATGAAAACTACTATTGAGAAGTAATAACCAATGAAAATTTCATAAATTCATTGATGATAAGCAACAGACAACAAATGAAATTACATTTAATCCACGTCCACATTGTCCTCAGTTGAGCATCATCCTTGACAATATCAACATACGTGGCGCCTTCAGCCTGTAGAGTAAGATGATGAATACACACAACTTGTTAGTCTGCATAAAAATGAGACTATAATTCATTATCAATGTTATAAAAGTTATAAGCATAGTACAACCAGATATGTGATAAAGTCACGGTGTTTGTTATTTATTCAGGGTTGTCACACTTACCCACCGATTTCTAGGCTTACAATCGATGGATATTTTGAGTCAGCTCTTAAGTGAGTGCGCACGCAACTGTAACACAAGTGCCAATTGTACGGACCTAACCTTTACCATTCAACAGATTACTGCAACACAAATATAATAACTGGGATCCGATATTTATTCTGTTTCTCTTTTGTAAGTCAACAGTCAGTTTCGTCAATCAAGTGAAAAGGATTTTGGAAATATCTGTTTATGAACCGTTTCAGGAGGGTATGCTTGTCAAAACACCTTGGTTGGATCTATACAATCAAGTAAGAGATTATAAAGAATTGTAATCTGAAAGAACAATAGCCACATGTTCGCCAAAGATACCCAATATCACCGATATCTAATTTTTCTAAATATACCGACGAATCAACTTTAGTTGTAATCATTAAAAGAGTTACTTTAACTCAGAGTACACAAAAGAGGGTGAACAAACCGGCAAAAATTTGAATATCTTTGATATACGTTCACACCTATGAAATGTATGATGACGCTATCATCACACATTTCTGGAAGACATGAAAAGATTAGCTGTCTTTGATCATAGATGCCTGAGTTCTATCTCCCGTGTGAAGTGGTATAATAAGGTGAGCAATATTGAGGTTAAGCACCAAGTGCTAGGTAAGGAGGGGAAATCAGTCGACGAGACTGTGAAGTTACATCGACTGAGATGGTTAGGACATGTGTTACGTATGCCTAGTCATCGCCTTCCTCAACGGGCAATGTTAACTGACATAGGGTCAGGTTGGAAAAGAGCTAGCGGTGGTCAAACCAAAACATGGCACCAATCAATGAAATCCAGAACAGTTAGTTTAAGCCACGTAGGAAGGTGTAGACTTCCTGGTTGGGGTCCTCGGGACGGTAAAAACCAATGGTTGGAAACAATTGGTGACATGGCTCAAAATCGTTCTCAATGGCGCAGATGCATCCACTCCTTGCGACTTATAATACCCAATATTACTATTCTTTTTGCCTTATATCTCGGTTTTCTGTCTCTATTTTGCATTTCTTCTACTTTCTTCTCTTGCTTTGTGTGCTACATGGAGTGCGGCAATTCGAACTGGTGCACATCTGTGCAAAGTTCTGAATTGAAGCCAGTCAGTCAGTTACGCATCTTGATGTCATTTCGTTCCCTTGGGTAGATACTCTTCAATCTGGTCAATGAAACGATACTTATAAACGAAATTACAATAAAAATAAATGTTAAGAATTTGCCATAAGCTTCAAATGGTCATAACTTACATCAAGTCCATATCCAAGTTCGGCACGTTTTTGCATAACAACTGAGATATCTGATTCCAGAGTTTGTTTCAATTCAGAGAAGAGAGTTGTCTGTGTTTTACAATCATCGCATGTATTCATATCATCTTTGTCTTTAGTATTCTGATATTTTATATCAGATGTTTTCGATGAAACATGATTAGTATTACTGTTACTATTATTATTATTATTCGTACTGCTGGTCTTTTCTAAGTGTTTAGTTTCAAAAGAGTTCAGAAATTCCATCAATGCATCTGAATTACTGCTAGTAATTCCTGTTAAGCTGAAGGCAGTCCAGTCACAACCGTAGGACCAAACCAATGTTTGATTAGCTGACCAACCCTGAACAGAATGTGGGAAAACAAAGTAATAAATGAAAGCATTGAAAAAGAATGAAATCGAAGGGAGCTAATCATATCAAATATCTTAGATATAAAAGAGATAAATAGGATTCTGAAAAGGTGTATTAATTCCTTTTCTTTATTTTATTATAGCTTGACTCCACACAGTATTTTTTGATACAAGTATGGAATTTTCAGCATGTGATATCGGTAACCCAAATTTAGCAGGCCAACCATAGATATCCGGTGTGCATCGACCGGGGATCGAACCCCGGACCATGTGCATGGTCGGTGAGCGTCCTAACCGCTATGCTACCGAGATGAAACCACCCTCTGAAATAAAGCAGACAGTATAGTGAGCAGTTATATCTCAATGATTGAAGGGAAAACGATCATTCTAAACCTAAAATTTACTATCTCCACACTCTTGATCAAAAAACTAGATGGTTGACTTTATTGCGAAAATTAAACACCCGACTTTTCTAACTTATACACAGTAACAGAAATCTAAATATAATAATAAGTATGCTCAAGTTATGTCTGAGATAGATATCAAAATGATATCCAATGAAGTTTAAAGTGTAATTAAGAGCTTTACATGTAATTGGAAATAACCACAACGTAACAACATGAAAGGAAATACACCGATATGATAAGAGTTAATGGTGAAATTTGCTCGCCCCTATGACAATCAGACAGATCAACGAAAATACTTGTAAATTTAAAACAGTTGGAAATCCGTTACCTGGAACAAACTTTTCATGCAACATGCTATGAGGCACACATACTGCATATGGAGGCTGATGATATTACTCAACTAAAGTAGGTGGAGAGGAATTTGAATCCCTGGGTCTAATTAACTGAAAATTGAGTGCTTAAGGCAATGAGATACATTTCCATAAGTGTAAAAGTAAGTGAGGTTGGATTTTAAACTTCGGACAACTAGAGGAAGAAATGACTATCTACAGTGGTGTACTACAAGTCTAAATAAGTGGTCATCCTCCATGAAAGTATCTCTCAAAATACCCAACTACTGTGATTTATCGCGTATACCAAAAGCATATTGTGAAACAAAATTTCAACGCACTGCATAAAATATGTTTAGTCAACTGTACTATCCTTCAAATGTTACCGATTTCCTTCAGTTTTTTCTGTTTATGCTATAAAAGTTATATCCATCCTTTTGCATCATAACTGGTGACCATTGATGACCTGGAATTATACAAGCTGTTTGTTAATAAATCCAATCAGAGTACGATAAGAATAACAATATTAATAGTAACAATAATAATATTGGCTTTATTCCAAGTAGTACTTTCGATACGGAGTTCAATTCTCAGTATGTAGTACAATACTGCATCTAATTTCCTCTCTACATGACATAGTAATGCTAAAAATAATAACAGAACCCTTTCAACACTCACAGAAATAGTAATAGCAGGAAAATATGAATATAGAAATGTAAAGTGACAACAGTGTATTAATGATAGGAAATATTAAAAGAGCCATTTAATTACTGTCTTACAGTAAGTAAGAAATTTCATGCCTAACAGTTTTTTCATCTCATAAAATAAGGTCAAATAAGGTATCGTTGAATTTTTATATTTAATTGTGCGAGCATATGGTCTGTTATAATTGCTTCTAGTTCTACTTGAAGAGACGCAAGGAAGAGTTGTGAATAAAGAGGGCGGTGACTTTTGTTAATTTCTTGCATGACTTCAAATGCCTGTTAACGACAATATTAAAGAGTTAGGCCAGAAAAGATTAAGAAGGAGAGGGTTGACAAATTACCAAAGTAGAGGTTCAGTGATATTTTCTAATGCAGAAGGCTGGACAAAATATTTATCTAGAAATCGACAGGATGTGGTATGACCAGGAAAGATCAGAGAAAAGACTTAATACAGGATATTTAAAACTCAACTTAGTTCCTACTTTAGTACCTTCTATGTTACAAACACTATGTGAGCGAACTAGTTTGTGTAAATCTAGTTTGTGTGTAGAAGTGAAATGAACAATCTGACTGTATAATAGTCAGACAGTATCAGTGGGGCTTATGAACAGAGCTGCTCAACAGTTTCAGTTGTTGTGTGGTGGAAGTTAATTTCTACAATTTGAAAAAGTGGCAACAAAACTATTTAAATAAAATATTTTTCCCTATGAATATCAGCTTCCTTAGAATTAACTTAAATATGCATATAACATCATTCGTATATGTTTATATAAAAAACTTACAATAGCTGCACGTTCCACAAGATGAGCTACATCCATATAACCATCACGATCCAAGGTTAATAAACAATTCATAATAGATGGATGCCAACTGAATGCTACCAGACTGACATTCGACCTACTTGATGCTATTATGAAATGAAGAGATAAGGTGATTCAAGTTTCACGAATTGACATGAATAAAAGTGAAATAAGGAAATCACTGTTTACTGTAAAACCGTCATGAATAAAAATACGCCCAGTTTTACTTTCAAACACTTGGGAAAAGGTACCTTTCTGAGATGCTACGAGTCACCACCAATTGTTTCACAAAAATCCACTAATCATTTTAATTATTGGTTGCTAAAATTATTCATTTCACAAGCTTAATATCATTTTCAGAACATCTTAAGCCTCTCCCACGTCCATATCAGAAATTTATACCAGTGATTCTAACGACAATTCAATGTTTTATCTTATTATATGAACCGTGAGAAACAAGAAGTCCGATGTTGTGTCGTTTTCCCTTCAATCTATCATTCATTAAACGCGTATAGCTATTTATCCGATAATTTAAAATCAGTGAATATACTTTAGAATCTCATCTCCTTTCTTGAAAATGATCAAAAAGTAGGTGTTTTTACATAATCACCAAACACCATACCCGATTAAAATATTTTTTTCCAGTGCATGAGGTTCAAAATTTCGCAAGCCACTTAAAGGTTAATAGTACTTAGATAATGAGTTAATGAACAGTGATTTCAACTTCGTCAAAAACCTTCGTCTTCTGTACAAAACACTAGATAAAGACATGAAAAGAAGCACACTTAGAGTCGGAGAATTGTCAACAGCGACTTATATTCGTGAGTATGACATTTATTCAGTACCTCTCATCATATTACTTGTAAGTAAGTAATATTTAGCAGCGAAATTTTCAAATGTGTTTTTTATTGACAGTCTATTTACTGTCGCACACCATGAGTTAAGTCAGGGGTTCACATTCAAACTTTTGCTAACCGCACCTTGTATATTATTGACTTCTTACATTATATGTCACACGTCACAGAGCATAAAAACACTGACTACTGTTTTTAGTAATATATGCAGTCGTCTCACTTCATACAAGTATCAGCGCGATAAGACCAGCAGGAAGAAATCAATTTTTAAAATATGACTCAAAACAATGTTGATTACACTCATTTTAATTGAAGGTGCTTATTTCAGACAGCATAGGTGAGGATGGAAAAGTCAGGATCAAGAAAGCACTGCTGCACTCAGAGAAAGGAACAAGATTCGGATTTTCAATACGAATATAAAGTCCGTGCTTCTTTATGGTTCAGCGACTTGACGCGTCACCAAAAACACTTCCTTCACGCTAATGCAGGGATTCATCAACAACTGTCTTCGTTCGATAGAGATTAGATTGCCTGGTCAGGAAGAATAAACAACAAGGAACTCTGACAACGAAGCACCTACGAATCTACTGCGCAAAAAATATGCCGAAGGAAATGGAGATGAATTAAACATACACTGAAGAGACAGTTGACTGATATGCTGCGCCAAGCCGTCGAAGGAAACTCAAATGGAAAACAACGAGTTGGGAATCCCACTGTGAAATGAAGGAGATCATTTGAGGAGGAAATGAAAGCTTATGGGCAATCGTGGCGCCAGCTGAAAAGAACTACAGAGGACAGAGTCAAATAGAGATGTACTGTTGAAACCCAATGCTTCACCCGAAACCCGAGAGAATAATAATAATAATTTCAGAATTTAACTATTCAGAAGTCAAATTGCAACCTATATAAGTGCATGAATATCTAATGAATATTTCTATTTTAGTATGACATAATTAAAGCAGCAAAATAAGGTGACACACAGTTTATTCTTCTTAACAACAAAAAAGAGAGAAAAGAATTCAAATGAAAACAGAACTTACGAAAGAATAATCTTTCTACTGGAATTTGTTCAGGTTCTTCTAAAGGCTGACAAAACATGGGGTAGGTATCATACAATTTCACACTGCAAGAATCTGTCAACAATACACCTAACCAAGCCTCTCTAGAAGAAGACAAAATACAGAGTATAACAGGTAATTTAATACAAAACGGTGTTAGAAACAATTTATGTCCGTCTAAAATACATGCACATCTGTGTATATACAGATAAAAGTGGTTTTAATAAATAAAACTGTAATATATGAAAACGTCTCTCAGATTAAGACCTCAGACTGTGAAAGCAGCACAGAAGTATCTGAATACTGTATCTCGAAAGAAACATTTTGAAGCAACAAAGTTGTAATTGGATTTCAACTTTTCGGGTCACCTTAATTTATAGATTTGAGTGTAGTAGAAATGCGATAAAACAAAATTATTTCTTTGGCTCACTACGTATTCACATTGAAATACCTAAAAAATTATTAAGCTATGCAGAACTCACTTACTTGGGACAGACGTTTCATTCGCAAGGCTACGAAACACACTTAATGTGTGATAGCCTATGATACCAACCAGTTGCCTGGTCTGAAGTAATTGAAGCAGGATTAAAACCCCAGTCCTGCTGGTTGAAAGTCGAGTATCTAAACCAAGAAGTCACTACACCTACAACAAGTTGAGAAGCAGAGAATGTTTTAAATTCTATTTGGCAACTACATCTGTCAAAATGAAGTATGACAGTGTTTCACATCCATGTTTTCTTTTCAAACGTCTCTAGCCAAGTAGGCAATATCCAGCAGGATACAGACACAAACTCAGTTCAACACCATAAATGAGGACACAAAGACCAAATACATTGCCTCTTAGAATTGTAATTCGTATTCCTAAAATAACTATATTTTACTTCAACCTTATGAATATTATATCAATAAATTGAGGTGGATGACAGCCAGGAAAAAAAGGAGAAAACAATATCATCGTAAGCACCAGAAGTAAAATATAAGCATAAAGACTACTTTATTGTCTTTCACTTTCAACCCCATATTTTTCATATTAAGAAATAAGTATACTTAGCAACCATCCTATATATTCTTCAAAATGACCAAGGAAAATTACAAGTGAACTCCAGTCTTCACAAAAAACCCATAATATGTAGTCTGTAACAGTAGAAGTGAAGACAAGTGTGAGACGTGCTTAACCTTCTAGACATTGCACGGCAGAGAGAATGAATTGAGAAAACTATGAATAGTATCTTGAATTGCAATAAGAACGGACAGTTACCCATACTTTTTTTTTGATTTACAGCTTGATTCCACTCCGTATTTTCAGTACAAGTGTGGAATTTTCAGCATGGATATCGGTAGCCCAAATTCAGGCCGACCATAGATATCGGGTGTGCGCCGGCAGGGAATCGAACCCCAGACTATGTGCATGGTCGGCGAGAGTCCTAACCACTGTGCCACCGACGCACAATGTTGCAATCAACTACCGAAGTTCTAGATGACGTTTTAACGCTTATGAAATCGCAAAAACTAATTATCATCATAATGAGATCTTTCCTCCACTTTACTGCTATTTATACAGGCAGTGACAAGCACTGGACTATAAGATACCTCACTCAGGACCCATTTCTTTTGGATGCATCTGAGTCTCAGTGCAATGGTGTGTCCCCCCACTGAAACTAAAATCAGGCAGCTATCGTTTGAAACTTCAAAGAGTTATTCACTAGGCTGTTGACCAACAGCTTCTTCTCTTTAGCAATTACAAACAACAGAAAACTAACAAGTCCCAGTAGATAGTACTTTTTATCTAATTTATTAGAAGGTCTACTTACTTTAATGACATTGTTTTTCATTTTCATGATTGATGTTTACTGATTTCCAACTAGAGGTAGCGCTAACTCACAGGTACTATAGTGGTCCTGTTTACTGTACACAGCACAAGAAGTCTGAAACTATTCAGTGCAAGATAACTAACCATCAAATTGCTGACTGTTGACTCAAGTCCTGTCAGAAACTATCAAGAAAGCAGTGACTAGAATTTTTAGGTGATATTATTAACGTTGGTTGCACAAACACACAACCCCTAATACTAGTTACTGTTTAAGAAATATTTGACTGACACCCTTGTGCCATCCCATTCCCCTTCTGTTACTGGTTTCTTTTTTCAAACAAACTACTAAGAAGTGTGGTGATGCAAACCAATGAATTATTGTTGCCATCATTATTCCAACTCGATTATCCGAAACCCACCCTTCATATACCAGGTTAAGAGCTCCACTTAATGTAAGAAGAATGATGGAGCTATCCAATTGCCCAGGATGCAGCAGGCACAGAAGGACTCGAAACCCAAACCCACTAGTTGAAAGCTTAGTGATTAAGCCAATGAACCAGATCTCCACCTCAATCAACCAATTACCCATTGAAATTACAATTTATTCCCAATGTATATTATTCATACTGTGACAGCTTATTGAGTTACATAGAGTGACAAAAATATCCTTGAAAACAAATAATGACTCATAAGCAGTTTTACCTTAAAGGACTCCATTTAATTTGTTGGACATCACCAGATTCAAAAAATGTGTAAACCTATTTTAGAAAAACAAAAGAAAATAAAAGCAGGAAACTCGACTTGCAAGCAGAATAAAGCTGATGTAAAATAAACAGCCATCAAATAACAAAGATTACCATAGTAACGCTTAGGTAAACCTTTGTGCTTTTGCGTTCCCTTCTTTTAGAGTTTACTTTCACTAGTCGTGAAAAGGTTTCAAAGTCGAGTGAAACACCAACCTAAAGTGCATTATTTTACTGTAAGTTTCAAATGATATTGATTTCAGGGGAAATGCGTGTACAAAACAAAACTGAAAATGATAACGTGTGTACTCCTGGTTTTCCCACAAGAACAGAACAGCTGTGTCCAGTACTCCCTGGTTTCCAATAGTCAGCTGACTAAAATCTGTCCGTAATAAATCTTGAAATTAATGAAATCTATGGAAACCGACACTCAAAAAAATGATACAAAATTATAGCTATAAACCTAGTCGGAGGAGATGAACGAATATCAATCAATTTACACATCATTACCTCATCAGTTATCATTATATCATCTTTCTAATTGCATTACTTACTAATCTGCAGTGTTCAACCAGTTTATGTAAACAACCATTGGTTAATTACTACTTTTAGCGGAGATGTGGTTCATTGGCTCAAGCACTCTACTTTCGACTACTGGAGCCCGGATTAGAATTTCTCTCAACCTACTTCAGTGTGGCCGAGTGGGTGGTATCATCAGCCCCACATATAACAAGTGTGACTCATAAGCCGATACCGGATAAGTTAAATCTAACTAACTAATGCAGTGGATTTAAGACTGTCACAAAAGTTCTTAATGTGAAATTCTTCTCCCTTACTCAAAATAATTAAAAGTCCACTGGCTTCTTAAAATTACTGAGTGAGCAAAATTGAATATAATTGACCTTATATAACATAAGTATGCCTTGACTCACAGGTTTTTCCAAGTTATCCAGTCTCCATATAGAAATTTGTCGCTGCAGTTTAAAAAATAAATGACAAAGATAATGGAATTTTTAGGCCAATAGAGAGATGGACAAAAAACGAAAAACAAAAAACTTTGCAAGCAACGGTCACAGGCAGTAGAGAGTAACCTTCAGCAGGGAAAACCAATCATAGGACATTACCTCTTTGCTAACAATAACGAATAATAATATACATAAAAATCTAGAAATATCTGTTTATTTTCTCAATAAACGACCTGTTGTCTGACCCTTGTCTTCTGTCGTTACACTGATCTCGTTTCTAAGTTAACGACATATCTCCATTTTTATCAGAGCAGGGGACTTCAGGAAAAACTTATTTAATGCATCTTCTAGTATAGTCTTTAGGAAAATACATAGAGACTCCATAGGAAGTCTATTATGATCTTTAGTTCCTACTAAGCCAGAGACAAACCAGGTGACCGTAAATTGTAATTAAGCCTAGCAGCATGCCTTCTCCTAATTAGTCCCAGACAAAGCAGAATAAAACTTAGATATTTTTCTAAATTAAACAGAAGTTAATAAATAATGATGGTCACTTGCAGTGAATATTCTGAGAAAATCGTTTGCTTTGAGTGCGTCAAAGTGCGCCACAATCTTAATATCCTATAGACAAAACACCATGATTGGTTTATATTTGAATTTTTATTTGTAAACTTATGTATATTAGAGTTAAGCCTGATGAGATCTAATTGAAAACAATATTGTTCGCTTAAATGTATTGTTCTAAACACACATTAACAAAGGTGGCACTGAATGTGAGGGCTGACCGATAATGTCTAATGATAAAATAAAGAGGCTAAATAGTAATAAGATGTTGCAGAATTGGTAGGCTTAGTATAAAATCACAAAGGTTGACAAAAATTTAAGGGTAACAATGGGGTGAAACAAACTGGGTGGAGAAATGGATAATAAAGACATGATATCACAAAATGATAATAATAATAATACGAAAAATTATGATCCTGGTGACCTTATAGTGGGCCAGGGTAGACAGAGAGAGTGAGTAAGTTTTTTCTGTACACATAGGTCTGGTCTCTCTCTATTATTCTCTAAAGCCTCAGCTATGGCTAGGAGACGTAATCGTGTGCCTTTGGGGAGATTGTTCGGTACTCGATACACAACTGTAAATGACTCATCTACTTTGATGCAGTGTTCGCTATCCACTAGATGAGACAGAATTGCACTATTTAATGATATGGTTGCTCTTTTCCCAAGCCAAACAGGAATATGTTCACGAGTGCGTAAAGATAAATTCCTTTGGGTACGACCTATATAACTAGCTCCACAGGAGCAGTTGAATTTATATACACACATTGATGTCGCCATTTTGGGTAATCTATCTTTAATGCACAGTGTCAATATCGGTTTGGTTGAGAAACTGACATGCAGTTTTGTGGCATTAAAAGTTCTTTCAATTGATCTCGTTAATCTACAGTTTAATATATCGCTGGATATATCGCCTTTGAATTGTACATTTAAGTAAAGCTTTTACTTACTTAATAATAATAATAATAATCACTTTATTCCACAACAATAACAATTTACAGCATGGAATTTTCAGCGTTTCTTTTACATATTGCAATGGTTTAGCTCTGTTTATAACTATATAAATGTATAAAATGTTAAAATATTGATAGTTAATAGGAAAAAATAAAAACCCCAACAAAATCACACCATTGCTAGGTCATAGTGAATAATAAATAAATAATATAACAAATAACACATGCATTAATATGCATCATTACATTTTATAGTTTAGTTAATGATTTAAAAGTTGTAAAAGTTCTTTTCTGATATTTGTCTCTTCACACAATACTCGTGCCAAATATGGTACGGTCGAATTTTTATATTTTGTAGTACGAGCATAAATGTTTATGAAATTTCTTCTGGTCTTACCCGAAGAGATACAAGGAAACAATTGTGAATAAAGAGGATGTTCACTATCAGACAAGATAACTTTAGCTAAGTGTTTACAAGAATTCATATGCCTATTGACAACAGTGTCAGTTAGTTGAGTCAAAGGGATAGCACTGACCCTACTTACAGCCTTCAATGTTCTTCGTAGTATTATATGGTCTTTCTTGAGTAGCCCAGGGAAGAATAATGGAGAACAATAGAGAATGATGGGCAAAACACATGAATTAATAAATTGTATGAGAAGAGGTTGGGTTATACCTGAGTGCCTCAACTTCTTTATGTAATAAGTCAGACGGAAAACTTTCTTAGAAACTATAAGAATATGAGACGACCAGCAAAGGTTTGAAGAGAAACTAATGCCAAGATAAGAAACACTTGACTTACTCTCTATCATGGTACCATCAATATTACAACAATCATGAGATTGGATCAATCCATGCATGTCTTTTTCACTTCTCAAGCTGAAATCAACAGTATTACATTTAGTTGGATTTAGTTTAAGACCATTTGAGCCAGACCAATCCTTAACTTCAGCTAAGAAGCCATTCATATGGGAACAATCCGATGTGGAAACTACAGGGACAGAAACGGTCAGATCATCAGCATACTTAATGAAGTTAACTTTGGGTGAGTTCGGAAGGTCATGCAAAAAGAAAGAGAAAAGAAATGGAGAAAGTACTGCACCTTGAGGCACACCACTTTCAGTTAGCTGAGAAGTGGAGCGCTTTCCAGCCAAAACAGTATGCTGTTTCCTATCCTTAAAATAAGAAGACAGCCATCTAGTTGCCCAGGACTCTGTTTGTGCTGAAATCATCTTTCCTAATAAAAGTGTCCTAGGAACAGAGTCGAAAGCTGCAGTATAGTCTAAAAAAGCTGTTCGAACGAACTTAGCACCCTTATCAAGGCAGGAAACAATATTGTGGTGTAGTACAATGGCTGCATCTAATGTACTTCTTCCACACTTATAAGCAAACTGCTTAGGGTCACTAAAAGCTTTTAAAGAAGGTTTAAGAATATTCAAAAGAAGTTTCTCCATAGTTTTCAAAAAAGGAGATGTTATAGCGACCGGTCTAAACTTTATACTTGCTCCAGAAGATGATTTCTGTACAGGTACAACCTTGATTTCTTTCCAGTCAGCAGGTACCGTTTCCCTGTTAAATGATGCATTAAAGATTTGAGTAAGAGGATGATACAAGATGTCTGCACACTTTTGAAGAAGAATGCTTGGTACACCATCTGGACCAAGGCTGTGTGTTGGATTTAAAGATTTCAAACATAATAGTACATCCTTTTCTTTAAAACCCGGAAAATGACCATTATCTTGACTAGGTACATCAGGTACAACCATATTAATTTGTTTCATGATAAATGATTTGTTTAAAGCATTAACATCAGAATAAGCATCAACAGACATTTGTTTTTTACTTGTAAGTTTATTGAAAAGTTTCCAAATGTTTGAAGGATTTTTACATGATAAAAATTTTTCATTATATAGTCTGTTCAACCTTTCTATTTCAATTTTTATAAGGGTGTTTATTTTACGGACACCAGTATTATCACAATTCTTATACAACTTCTCTTTTAGTCTTCTAAGTTTTTTCAGTTGCAAAGAAGAGATTCTGTCAAATCTCGAAAACAGTGTTTCATATGGACAGCAAATTTCCAAACAAAACTTCAGATAATCGGTTATATTAGAGACAGTAGCATCCAACTTATCGTCAGTAAATAGTTCCCAGTTGGTATCATACAACATGCTTCTTAGTGCTAGAATGTTGTCATGGGAATATGAACATTCATGTATCTTCTTTGTTAAATGACTAAACAATTTTTGTTGTAACTTACCGTACACTTTCGGTAAAATACGAATAATGCAGTGGTCAGAGTTTAGCAAAGGAGCTCTCCTTCGGGTTTCATATACATCACGTTCATTTATGAAAACCAGGTCTAGTGATTTGTCCAGACGTGTATTAAACTTGACTAGATTCTCATTTTATTTTATTTTTATTTTTATTACAGCTTGATGCCACACCGTCTTTTCAGTACAGGTATGGAATTTTCAGCATGGATATCGGTAGCCCAAATTTGCAGGCCGACCATAGATATCGGGTGTGCGTCGCCAGGGGATCGAACCCCGGACCATGTGCATGGTCGGCGAGAGTCCTAACCACTGTGCCACCGACGCAGTGGTGTAAGAAAGCTGTGATCACATGAATTAAAATCACCACAGACTATAGACAACGAGTTTCCGAATGCAGGAGCAGCGAATTCAGTAAATTCATCTGCAAACATAACTATATTAGAAAGGCTACAATTGGGTGTTATGTAAATATTTGTTATGTATATATAAGAATATTTACTTAAGTGTTTTGGGCGACACCTGACGGTTATGCAATCTATATTGTCATTAGAATAATTGAAGCAAACGTGATTTGATGTAGACCAACTTGTGTTTATAAAAGTGGCTACCCCTCCTCCATATTTTTTCTTAGAACTTTTTCTATCTTGGCGAAAAACTTTATATCCATTTATTGAAACTAGATTATCATCATAATGCTGGTGCAGCCAAGTCTCTTGTATTGCTAAAACGCCAGCATTTCGATAAACATTAGAATACATTAGGGATTGAAGATAATCCATTTTGTTGGACAGGGATCTACAATTAGTGCTAACGAGTTCAGGAACAGTCATTTGATTAATTTGTGTACGTTTCAGTGCACGCTGCCATCCACAGTGATGCTTTTTTCTCAATTTTTGTGGATGACACAACGCAGTAGGTTGTAATGATTTTAAAAATGCGCGATTATATATAATACGATTTGGACACATTATTGATAAATTAAAACAAAATTAAAAGAGCAAACCAAAGCAATTTTGCAAAATGTTGTAAGGTGGAATTTTTGGTAGCCCTATGTTCAAGCAGGCCGCCGCTGGTATTCATTCACTCGCTTAGTTTTATGTGTATTTTCATAGATATACTTCTTTACAAAGTTGGTAGGATAGTCGTTTTGTAGCAAGGCGTTTGTAAGATTTCTTATTTCATCTTCAATACAATCGTCGTACATAGCGTCTAATTC